AGGATGAGGATGAGGATGAGGGTCAGGAGGACGGAGGAGGAGGAGGAGGAGGAGGAGGAGGAGGAGGAGGAGGGACAATTGAGAAGGAGGAGGGGGGGGACCAGGAGGCCGCGCCTGCTTGCTTGCCCCCCCGTTCGGGGAGGCGCCTGCCTGCGCGTTTCGCGCCCTCCGCCCCTGGCCGCGCGCCCCGGGGCGGCGCCTCCGGCGTGGCGCCGGGCAGGGGCCGCGCACGGCCGTGCAGGCCGCCGCCCTGACGGTGGGCTTGCGTCGGGCCTGTCCCCCCACAGGGGGGGAGGAAACACACAGACGCAATTCTTCCAGATCTCGTGATAAAGGGAGGGGGGTCTCATTTCGGGGGGGGTCTCTTCCATGCTATCTTGGAGGGCCTGGGGGGGTCTGGGGACGATGTTTTGGAGGGTTCTCCCACGGGGGGGGGGGAGTCTGAAATGGCTTGTCTTGGAGGGTCCAGACCCCCTCCCTTTTATTACGAAATCTGGAGTAATCGTCGACTCCCAGGAAGATGTGGGAAAATCTGGGAAGTGGGGGAGAAGGCAGAGGCCCAGAGAGTATGGGAAAGTATGGGAGTCCTTTTGTTTGTATTTATTTGTGTGTCCCAGGGCCCCTTCACCCCCACAGGGGGATTTTCGACGAAAAAAAGAAAAACAAATACCCCCCAAAATAGTCCAAGCATAGTCTGGGGACTATGTCTTGGATATTTGTTGGGGCCTTTGGGGGGGCCTTTTGGGGCCATGTCTCTCGCACTTCGTCGAAGATCTCCCAGTATAGGGGGACACGCACGACAGAAAGGTGGGCGAGCCCCGCAGCTGCAGCCCGGAGGATTTCACCACGAAGCGCGCCATGATCGACTACAGGGAATGAAAATCTGGGCTCCCGAAACGAATGGTCAAATCTCTCAGAATCTTCCAAACACCGACCCGGGCCGCCCGGGCCGGGTCCACCCGTGCGCGGCGAGGAGGCGGGATCCCCCGCGCGCGGCGAGCGGCGAGCGCCGCCCAGCCGAGGGCGCAAGGCTGGCGAGCGGCGGCAGGCGGCGGGCGGCCGCGGCGACGGCCGCCGCGGGCGGCGAAGCTGCTGCGCCCCTCCTCGCCCTCCCTCCCTCCTCCCCCTCCTCCTCCCCCTCCTCCTCCTCCTCCTCCTCCTCCGACCCAAGGTCGACACATTGTCCGCCCGGGCCGGGTCCACCCTCGAGCGGCCTGGCCCGGAAGGCGGGGCAGGCCGCCGGAGCGGTCGGCCGCGGGCGGGGCGGGCTCGGCCCAGCGCGCGAGTCCGCCAGCAACCCGAGGGGTCTGGGCGACTAGCCGAGCGGGGTCCGGGCTTGCCCGCACCCCGCTCGGGAGGTGTCGTCGCGATGCTCCTGGAGCTCAGAGCGGGCGCCAGCGCGGGCGCGGCGGCAAAGGGACCCGCGCCGCGGCCTTCGCAGGAGGAGGAGGAGGAGGAGGACGAGGAGCGGGAGGAGGAGGACGAGGACGAGGACTAGGAGGAGGACGAGGAGCGGGGTGAAGAGGTCGAGGACGAGAGGGACGATGAGGACAAGGAGTTGGGGACCAAGGAGGGCGAGGGGGAAGAGGAGTAGAGAGGTGCGAGGAGAAAGAGGAGGGGCAGCAGGAGGAGGTAGTGATGCCACCAGGCGACAGGCGACATCGGGGAGCAGGAGGAGGAGGAAGTTGAGGACCAGTATAAACGCAGGACGCATTAACGATGTTGCAGGACCCCTTTCCTCCAAGTTTCCTCTTCAGAAGGTCCTCGCACAAATGTATTATAACTGCCGGAAGTGTCCCGTTGGAAGACAACCGCCTGAGAATCTTCAGTCGCACCAAAACACCATTCCTTCGACTTCAACTCCGTGGATAAACTTTAAACTACTGTTGCGTCGTGACGGTCCAGCATCGCGCCAGAGCACCATTCCTTGGACTTTACTCCGCAAATCAACGTGACCTTTGTGCAATGACCGTCCAATTTCATACCAGAAAAAAGAGTTCCCGAGACGCCAACCATAGGAGCACGCGAAACCATTGCCAACTTTTAAGACGATGTGAGCGGCGCTCAGGCGAGAGCCACACGTTGAAATGGAACCGCCCTCCATCCGTGAAGCTCTTGCGGATTGTTAGGACACATGTGTTCGGCGCCAGGGCGAGAGCCACTTTTGAAAACAGTCAGCCATCCATCCGCAAAGCTCTTGCAAACTTTTACGACGAATGTGCGCGGCGCTCAGGCGAGAGCCACATGTTGAAAAGGAGCTCCCCTCCATCCGCGACGTTCTTGCCAATTTTCAGGACGAATGCGCGCGGCGCTTAGGCGAGAGCCACATTTTGAATCCAGCCCGCCCTTTTTCCGTCAAGCTCTTTTGCATTTTTGTTGTTGAGAAGATTGTGAGCGGCGCTCAGGCGAGAGTTTCACTTTGACCACCGCACGCCCTCCATCCGTGAATCCGTTGCAAACGTTTAAGGCGAATGCGCGCGGCGCCAAGGCGAGAACTGAACTTTGGAAGGGACCGCTCTCCATCAGTGAAGCTGCTGCGAACTCTTGAAACGAATGCGCGCGGTGCTGATGCGATCGCCTCATTTCGAAAATTGCCCGCCTTCCGTCTGTGAGGATCTCTTGTAAACCTTTAGGACGAGTGTGCGCGGTGCCACAGTAATAGTCGAAGTTTGAAAAAGGACCCGCCCTCCATCCGTGAAGCTCTTGTCAACCGTTCAGACGAATGTGCGCGGCGCTCAGGCGAGACCCACATGTTGAGGAGGAACCGGCCTCCATCCGTGAAGTTCCCGCAAACTTGTGGGATAATTGTTTGCGGCGCCAAGGCGAAAGCCACATCTTGAAATCGGCCCGCGCTCCATCCGCGTAGCCCTTTTTCATCAACTGTTTTAAACGGGCGTGCACGGAGTCCGGGCGAGGCGAGAGCCACCTTTTGGAAAACCACCCGCTCTTCTTCCGCGAAGCTGCTGCCAGCTTTTATGACGAATGTGCGCGGCGCTGATGCGAGAGCCACGTCTTGGAAAACCACCCGCCTCCATGCGTGAAGCTGTTGCAATTTTTTTACGCTTCAGCGTAGTAGACGGTGAGGAAGTATCAGGCGAGACGCCCGGCCCGCCCCACTTACACGTTTCCGGGCGCGACATGGAGGAGTCGTCTGCAAGGAACAGGAATGAAGAAGGGCGAGGAGGAGGAGAAGGAAAAGGAGGAGGAGGAGGGAGGATGGACGAGGAGGAGGGAGGATGGGTATTGGAGAAGTATACGGACTAGGACTAGGAGGAGGCTGAGGAGGAGGAGGAGGAGGAGGAGGAGAAGGTGGAGAAGGAGGAGGAAGAGGAGGAGGAGGAGGAGGTGCAGGAGGAGGAAGAGGAAGAGGACGATGGAGAGTGGAGGAGTATAAGGAGGAGGAGGAGGAGGAGGAGGAGGAGGAGG